GCAGACCGCCGCAGAATCCGCTGCGCTATGATGCGCCTAGAACCGCTGCCCTCGTAGTTGCCTCTATTGGAGCATTGCATCATCTCGACCTTACACATAACCATACACAACAAGAAAACGAATCATCCAATAAGGTTTGCCATACAAAAATATCGATCTGCGTTGCTAGTAAAAAGATTTATCCTAAGCGAAGGCTGTCCGCGCATAGTAATTGCAGAGCTTCTGTATCGATAATTACGTAATCGGCCCTACAAACGGTCCGAAGTATGTCGCCGGCGTCTGGGGCGATACGTGCAGATCGTCAAGTGGTTTTCGAATACTTCAGGGGATTCATAGTACATGCCACCGAAGTTAATCAGCTACGAAAACCTTCCTTTTTCTGACGCAAAGGCCTGTTTCCATCTGAAGCTCGATAACAATGCTAAGGACCTTATTAATTTACAGCTATAAAGTGAAATCTCGTAAGTAGGTCATTTAACATTAAATAGTTTTAATTCATAAACCATTTTTACAAGCAGTTTTTATAACGATTGTGATGGTGGCTTGATACGATAATGTCTGTGCCTAGGGTCCCAGAGGGCCTCCGTTTCAGCCCCGTTGTTCCCTGGCAACTTCAGTTACACTATGATCGGTTGCCTAGTGACAAGAAATACGGCAAACATTGTAGGAATCTTCTGATGATATTGTACGATAGGGATAAAACGGTTTGATAGATCAGCCCTAAAAAAAATTAATTTGATAGATAGATGACAATAAAGTAACTAGGACCTGCACCTTGTCACAAGCTTGTTAGTGAATTTGACGCAGTAGGAAAAATAAGGTAGATCGTCGACAATCTGCCTCGAGGTCGCGTGCAGGGTCTCTGATTTTAATAAAAAAAATCACTATCATCCAGGAGGACCGCGCGGTTTTGGTTATGGGCAGTTTTGTGAGTATCTTTTTATAGTAACCATAACTGATAAGCATGCTGCTACACTACCTGCTACCTCAGCGTTGACAAAAAAGAACGCTAAAAATTAATAGCCAAAATAATAAGGAATAATGCAAAATAGAGGAATTAATTAGAAATAAGAGATTACTATTAAGGTTAATAGCTGCTTGTATGAGATTGCCTTAGTGTTTCATAGGTCTGTTAAAGGAAACGTAACTGAGCCCAGCAGGACCGACCCAAGCAAGATTCCCAGTGGCAACAAGCCCCTGATGCTATACCTCAAAAAAAATGATTCCGAAGACGTAACAAAAAGTACTGAACGTTCCAAAAAAATTTAAATTCAGATACGGATATTTTGACTGACAACGATTACAAATGAAGGATAAGGACGAAGGATTCTTAAATATTTTCTCTAATAATATAACAGATAAATTCGTCTAGTGTTTTAATGTAGGTTCTGTATGAAGAAAATGCTGAATATATGTATCTTGTTATTTCATGTTAATTTTCAAAGCCTACCATTACTGTCTGTTATTCATCTGTCAAAAAAAAATATTTTTTTTTGAGAGAAGCATACGTTACGACTATTTTCGAGGCACAAATTTCGTAATTTGTATCGATCTATTAAGCGAATACGGTGCTAGCTTGAATAAGTGCGTACGGAAAGGCCCGCTTCTAGCCTATGTTGTATAGCTTGCTTCGACGTGTACGCAGCGATCGAGTTGCCCTTCACGTTATCGGCGCAGCTGTTTTTTTAGAGCTGTTTTTCAGCGGTGCAATCGTCAGACAAAGCCAGGCGCTTTCGACTAAGGCCCTCTATCGCTTCTGATCAGCAGTATGCAAAATGTTTCAAGTCCTACGTCTGGCATTGTCGTAATGCATTCATCAGCATTGTGTTGTATGCTGGTACGATACTACGTAATGAATGGTGGCAGTGGTAGGCTTAGCATTGTCGTCTAGTTCAATAGAGACTTATTAGTATTTATCGCGAGCATGAAGAAAGCCTGTCTTTTGATGTTCTGTGTTTAGCTGATATAGTTTCCAGTTGGTACGTTCGAAGGTATTCACTTAAGCAGTGGCATTAGAAAATAATAATGGTAAGGTTATTAGACATTGCTATTAATCCGTAGTTAGACTAAGGAAGAGTTACTATGCAACTCTACAGTAGACCAACAAACTCGATGAACGTATCCTTCGACTGAGTGAGAGGATCACAGGCCATCGACGAAGGCGCGTCTTAGCCGTAGGTCGGGTACCTTGGTAGAATCTCAGAGTTAGCTTTGTCAGTCGGCGTTTGAGTAGCAGCCCGGACTGCCGTGAATAAATCGTAATAGTTTTACTGTTTGTGTGGGTGCGATTTTTATAAAGCGCTAGCTAGAAATGTATACCAGAACAGTAACAGGACGTGTCTGATACTCAACTGGCATCTTGCCTGAACAGTTGTATCATTGATAATCAGCTATATCGCCAGATACCGCCGTACTATTGGGGCGCCGTATGTCCAGCTGGGACTGTTCGTGGTCGTCTGCGCACTTTGCTTCCAACGGATCAGTTAAGAACTGCTTAGTGCTAAACGGTCACGAGTATAAGGCCGTGCTTTGAGACTGCTTTAAGCTTCTAAGTAAAGGTTCGAAACTAGCTGTGAAAGTTGACTTTCGTACAATGCGCTAGACAGACTTAAAATGACTGACGTGTGGATAGTGGACAAACTCAATAGATGAAGGTTATGAAAGAGACATTTCGTACAACTTCGCGCAGTTAAAATAAAAATCACTCAGTGAAAATGTTAAAACGAAGACGTCGGCGATCTTTATGAGCAAAATTCTTTTTTAAGGCTTCTTGGTTAAACCACAAGAATCCTGCCACTTACGTCCTTAAAATCATATTATTCAGGACGTGGATCCCTCAAAACGTACCGCTGACACTCAGTGTATTCGGAGTGTTACAGGAGACACAAGCGATCCTGACCATGTTGAAGATACCGACATGACCTAGACCTAAATCAGATAAACAACACTAGATTCTATGGATAATAGATTGTATTAAGAAGAACAAGAAACTAGAATACTTTAGTCTTGTTCCAGATTATCGCTACATAAAAACGCTACAAAACATAGGAAAAAATCGAACGCTACGTGCTGATAGTTACGCTTTCGCCCACCAGCTCAATCAGCTTAAGTCGTCCGTTATAAACAGTTTTTTTTTTATTTGATCATTTATTTCTTTTTGTTACAGCTCGAACTTGATCTCAATTTACGTCGTTACGTTATGCTAGTTCGTGCCACCTAAACCAAGTCGGGTTCTGTGATCATTTCCTGATACGTTCCGATGAATGTTTCAACTATTCGGCACTCTCTTTCTTGCTTTCGTCAAAGCCGCTTATGTAATTGTGTCCTCGACAAATGAATGAGGGCATGGCATCTCGCGAAGTCACATAATGTATACTTTGTCATTGTAGCATTTCTTCTACCCAGGGAACTTCTTGTCACCATCATGCTATTTCAAACCGCTCAACACACGCGGCTATACAAATGAGACGGCAACGTTGTAGGCAAAATTTTAAGGGAGTAAAGCCTATTTACGCAATCGCTGCTGTCTCCTCAACGTATGCCGGCTACTGCGTACTCGTAGTGGCAAAGGTCCGAAGCTCGAGAGTTACTCTAGGTCGATCAAGGGCCAAACTATGTCTCTCTAAGAAAGAAATAAGCTATATATATATATATATATATAGATATGTATAGTATTTTGTTTTTTCAAATTTCAATCATTCTTCTTTACAGATCTATTAGATACGAAACAGCAACAAAAAAGACGCCTCACTAAGCATCACATTTTGGAAGATGTGTTAATTAGGGGAGAATCTAAAGGTCGGCAAAAAAACATTTGCTTTTGGACCTATTCTGGCTTAGGCATAATGGAAGCGTATAAAATCCTTTGACCAATTTGACAATTTTATAAGTTATATATACGAACTTATGCTGCTTAATAATCACCCAATGAAATCGGCAAGGTATCTGCACTCTCACAAGTTAACAAAAGCAGTCAGTGCTTCCGTTAGCTATGCACGGGGAAAGATGTTACGAAGAACGCGATTACCTAAAGTTCTACCAACATCCAAATTCAGAGTGCCATTTCCAGTAGGCGCTACGTTTAGAATCAACTTATTCTTATCGAAGTAGATCCTAAATTGGCTGTGCATTTCAATTAATCTTAATTCCATGAAGCTCTAACAATAAGGACAAACTGAATTGGAAGAAACTAACTTTAATTTCGTTGAGTTCGTTATTTTGCCAGTGACGAATTCACACGCAGGCATCCCTGGTTGGTGTCCTACACTTGCGTTGCACTTCATCTGGACTGACCGAATGTTTTTATTTTCTGTGTACCCGTATAATATCCATAGCTCACATTTGATTCGAAAAGATTCATCTGTGCTACATCAAATCACACCTCTCTGACCACAAACTAATTCCGATGAACTCATTATGGAAATGATAGTCCTTCACGTGTTGAAGTTGTTTGCGTATCGTGGCCTAAGCAAGACGCTGTACGAATAACGTTTGCTCGAAACGATTTCCACAACACTTCAACGTGATAGTTACCCTTGCTTAAATCACTCGAACGACGCTAGACTCCCAAAGCGGCCAGTGAGAACGGGGAGGATCGCATTCAGGAGGAGTTTATGTACAAAAATTACTTGTGTTCGTTCGAGAAGTCGACGAAGGACACGCTGTCGGAGTATGGTTTCAGTTAAACCATCAATACGTATAAATATTTACTTCATTGTCGTTATCGTATCTAAACTAGTGGCTGAACTATTAGTATCCTAGGGTTTTTTTTGTTTTTTTGTACATTTCTAGCAGAATATGACGCGTATACGGCTTGTGTCATTATTAAAAGGTAATCTGATGATACGAACAGAACCCCTGGTGGATGTCGAAGTGAACCAATACTGACCTGCGCTTTAAGAAATATTTGATCGTGGATCGAATGCTCATAAATGTACATTTCGGTTCGATCTCATGTTCCTAAAGCAATTTTACATTTTTTTTTTTCTTTCCTGGTTCAGTCACCTGGTTTGTAAGGTTCGCTAGGCTACTCGGTGATGTGTTCCACGAAGTTCGAAGGCACACAACGATAATGCGCAGATTTTTTCTGCTAGCGTTTGCTTGTTCAAAACCCGTCGTGCGAACGGGTAACTTCACATCCTCAAGGCAGCTACGAGAAGGACCAACGAAAGGCGGCTGAATATGTTAATGAATCTTAAAGATATTTAGATTTTTTTTCTAACGTAAAATATCAAAATTTTCATTATAAAGATATTTCGTAATGATCACCAATTAGTCCCGACTTTTTCTTTTTAGCATTGCTCGTCCTCATTTACCGATCCATTCGATACTCAAAGATTCTATATGGCAGATGTAGTGTTTGAACACATACACATCGGATTGGTGTCAGGAACTCCGCGAGATTTCCCCAGGGCTTCTCAGTAATACATCTCGAGGCATCTAAAGCACGATGCCTGTTTCAGTCTAACATAGACGGTTGTTTTTTCTGGTGCCAAATGACTTGTTAGTAGGGCGTTGTATGATTGGAAAATAAACATCATGGGTTAGCTCACTTCTATCGTTTATTAACTGATCTATTACACAGTTAGCGATACACTATCTGCGTACGTATTCGGGTCTTAAAGGAGTGAAGAGCAATTTGTTAGCACCGGGACTGAGCCTAGAGACTATTTGGAATATAGGTCAAAGCGCTGGTTTTAAAAGATCAATCAAAATAAAGTTGTTCTGTTCTCATAGGTACTTGAGTGCAGGCTTTAAATCTAACGTGTGAAACTGAGGAAAGGGTACCGTTACGATCTATATATTGGTTCTCTCTCTCTCTTCCTCCTATATATATATATGGACAAGGTGTTAAAGTCAACAGGCATCAACGGGAAAATGGAGGTTAGATCGATTTATCTTTTGTAACTTGTAAGGCTTTCTTGGCTACTTTTCAAGATTTCCACGCGTCCGTACGAGTTGGATCCAGAGGCATCAAGCGGTCATAGTCTTGCCAAAAACCCAGTTCAAGTATCTGCAATACACATGAATCCGCATCCTTAAAGAGGCTCAATATTTCTTACCCGTGCAGTATGCTTGATCAGTTTTGGGTCATTTGTTGTGCTACAATTTTTGCTACAATGTGAGGAACACGCCTAGCTTACCAAACGTAAATCAGTTCGTTGCAGTCGTTCATAAGATTAAAACGATACGGTCTTAAAGTGCGCAGTACGCTTAGCCTACGGCGGAAACAGGGCTGCTTTATGCCCACCTCTGGCATCTCCAGACAATAGGCATTTCAGGATGGTTTTCGTTCGACCTGTGTTTGCTTGTGTCACGGTTAACAAGAACTTTTTCAGAAGTTACTGTTGGGCCAGTTCTTCTAAATGTGGTTTTTACAATAGCGCTACGTGACTCTTCTTAGGCCAACCTCCTAGCTTATATAATAAGTGTACAGGCATTCGTGGGCCAGACAGTACCCACAAGTTAACTCGATCTAGTTGATATACTGGTAAGTGCTTGCATCAGATTGTCACAGCTCCTCAGTCAGAAGAGATGGGCTTGCAAAATGACGTCCACATGGAAGGCCACATTCTGCTGGGGGGCTGATGCAATTTTACTTCGACGCTATAGGTCACTATCATGGAAGTGATCTTTCAACCAATGGCGATAAGTTCGATGATGGTCGACGATCACGAGAGACGTCATGTGTCGTGTTGACGTTTTATACAATGTCGGGAGACTCATCACCCTTATTAATGCTATCTGAATCGTAGTGTTGCCGCACCGCAGTGTTCGGTAGATTAGCATCATAATCGACTAGAAATAAAATTGCCGTAACGTTTTATTTAACGTAAAGCAGAATCATATCGAGGCTTCATATCAATCTACGAAGCGTATGCGTTTCTGGAAGGTAATATATCTCCAGCGATTTTACACTACGAGTGACTAATGACTCGGGCATAGCGGTTTCTAAAGTGGTTTCACGTCGTTGATTTGTATGGTTAGACGTAATATGGCCTGCTGAACTGGACTAGGAAGACGTTGCTCTAATTAGTGGAAATCACAGGATTTACTACGTATACGTTTATATTGTTTCCTCTACCTGGCTGATATACGCTATAAAAGATATAGCCACATAAAACTATCACTTGAAAATGATTTACATTGAATGCCTTATCCCTGAATATCGGGCATCTGGCAATGCGATGATTCCGCGTGATTTAAAATTGTTATTAGGATTTATCATATGTTGGCCGTGAATGAAATTTCAATTGGCATTATCACAATTGCGCTGATACTGTGATCGCTAGTGACATTTGACAAAATTTAATGTTAAATTTATAGTGAAAACAATAAGGTAAGGATAATTGGCGTACTCTCGGAGGAGAGACGTCATTTGACTCGAAAAAAAAAACTTGGCCTGATTCAAGCTTATGTTAACAAAATACAAAAATCACACAATTTACATAAAGATTTACTAATGTTGACGTGTGTGCATGCGAGCGATTGTTAATCTATCAGGCTTTAATTCAGTACCGTCATAAAAGGTCTTCCGAAGAGATGATTCTGTGTATTTGATAGGATCGACGATATTTACTTCAAATACATAGTAGTTAATTGAGGATACTAAGGCGAAATACACCATAGCGAGGCTACTTACGGTTTATCTAATCATCACTCGAACTATTAAGTCAAAGTAGCATATTCTCTTTTGAGAGTTCGCCTCTCTCTGTCTGTCTGCACTGTTGGGGTATCACTGGGGTTGGCTCCTGGCAACGGAACTGGATGCTGCATGTACATCGAAGCTTAGAGTGGACTTTATTACAGATGTTTCTTTTTTCTTTTTTTTTTTTTTTTTTTTTTTTTTTTTTTTTTTAAACAATGAGTTCATGACTGAGTTTCTTTAATTTTCAATTATTGGTTTTCACTAAAGGAAAAACTGACATTCGCATATAATAATCATACATTCGTTGTTAACTTCTCAGTAGTAGTAGTAGTATAAGAAAAAAAATGAGAAGGTAATTCAGATGCCTTTGCTAAGTCCATCCAGGCTTAAGATAATGTGCATTATGACTTTGATTTTATTCAATTCAAATGAATTTCTCTGATTTGTCGGAACTACAACCGGAGCGAGTAATTTTTTTCTTAATAAACTATCGTTGTGTCATAATACTGACTTTATGGGCGCGCTACGAATGACAAAAATGTCAAAATAATTAATAAATGAAGAGCTAGAATGCTGGCCAATCAGACGGCATTCGTTCGTATAGAGCAACGACTGCTGCGATAACTCGAAACTGATCCGCGAATAGTTGCTTGTTTAACCTTTTTCCATAATCTGTCAACAAAATGCAAGAGTTTGTTTATATTCATCAGATCTCGTTTAGCGTTATAATCTGTGATTCCAAAGTCAACGACGCTGCACAGACGCGTTATGGAAGTATTTCTCAGTTCATCTTCAACGATTGACAATGTCACAAGCCTTCCAACAGGGCTAAAATAATAAAAAAAAAACAGCATTCGCCGTTGAAGCATGGGAACACTGGTAGTCATCTGTTAGTTGATGCCCATAACTACACCGTAGCAATCCCACCAGTTTAGGACCAGATAAAAAGAATGTCATCGGCTCAAAAGAAACATGAAACACCTAGAAGAATTGCACCAAGGCAAAAAAGGCGGTAGTATTTATGAAAATGGGCATCGTCTGTAGTAACTTGAATCGACATGCCTGTGCTCGGGTCTCGATAAGGCCCCAACGAAGCACTGATGTTACGGGAACCATGAGACTGTCATTCAATTTAAAGAATCTACTATAGTTAACGACCGATATTAACTTATTTAACGTATTCCTCACCGTCGTTTTAATGCAGTTACATGCGTACGTAGTGCCTTAACTTTACTGTTGGATTCAACAAGGTGACGTGTCGCGACCAATGAGATGGTGTCATCATAAGGTCTACTTAGTGGACGTGCCCCGATAGTGATGATGCATCTTCCTACTAACCGAAGAAATATGGAGGCGATCTGAGTGGAATATTGAGCATAAACATTGCGTAGCAGCCACAATAGTGTACACGTACTGACTATGATATGTTCCGTAAACTACTCTCAGTTGTTTCGAGGTAAAGCTCAGTATGAGCTTTGAGGCTATCGTGAAAACTGTTTTTTCTGCCATTTTAAGTTTAAAAAACATTATGACGATCAGTTAATGAGGCAGAAGTCATCTACCGCGATTAGTCACTGCGCCGTATGTGATCTGACGCGGTCCCCGGATCAGTTTCTACGCACATGTTACGAGACGTTAAGTATTTTGAAATTGAAGTACATTTTCCTTACTCCTTTTGTGTAGCAAAAGCCCTTCGCCGGGTCCGAGCCAATATTCTACCTAATAAACTAACGTAGTATATTTGTGCGTTACTTGTCCAATTTATTAGTTTGACAACATTAGATATGCTCAGATGACTTCATTGAGATAGGGCAATATGTGTGGATTAATTAACACGAAGTGAGTTTGGCGCAGAGATTGAAGAACATTCTTGAAAAGACTGAAGTGCAACGATGATGAATATATTGAGACACAAGTAAGCCATATCTGGCCCTATCTTTCAGGTAATACATTCGTATTTACTGCATGGACTGCAATCTAGAAAGCTTCGTTGGAAATGAATTCAGGTATAGGATTCACCCTTCTAACCTTTCTGGAGCAACATGAGTGCGCTTAGTGATTAATTGATCTGAATCAGTCTACCGAAACCCACAATGAAACTATGTGTAGACTGACTGTTCGATCCGATGTACACAGCTCATACGGTCAGGGTGTTTTACAGAACTCAACTATCCAACCTACTAACGACTACTAACTAACCGTCAAGAAGAACCATCCAGGACAATCTTGTTGATTCACAGAAATTCTCAATTCAAGGTACTGTATAATTTGCATCTTGCGAGTGATATCGTCGACGTGATAAATATATGTACATTCTGTGGCTTAAACCAGGGATATTCTGCAAAATATAGATATGGTTTTACCAAACCTATAGAACACGATGTGTATCAGGCATCTTATACGTATAAATAATAGAGGACATGTTTGATATTGCGTCTTGCATTTTTGTTGTTCTTGTGTCCCACACTGAAGCGAAGCTACAGATATAGAAATCAAGATTTTGAGAAAACGTCATCAGAACCTTAATGCAATTAAAACTGTGTGTCTACGAATTTTTTTTGCAGATAATTTTTTTTTAA